ATTTATACAGTAACCACAACAGTGAAAAGAAAAACAATTTGGAAACACTTAAAAACTGTGATTCTTGCAATGACCAACCATGATACCAGAGGATAGACAGGTGTAGAAGGATACATTTTTTGGATGTGGTAAATGTATGGATTTGTTGAGAGAGAGAGAGAGATTAAGACAGAGATGGAGTCATTGAAGCATCTTTAAAAATGTATAGAAGGAATTTCAGAGAGATATAGACCAGTAGGACAGCACTGAAAACAGGTTAAATTTTTTTAAAAGTATTTTAAAAGTAAGTTGTAATAGTGATCTGTGTTTTCATATAATCTTTGTTGTTTTGTTAAAGAAAAAAAAACTTGTTTTGCCTTCTGAAAAGGAGTTCAATATTGCTCTTAAGGAAGGAGAATTTTAGGGAATTATTCCTCTTTGTCTTTTGCTAGAAGTGAATTGGGGTGGGGAAGACTTGGAATCTCTACTTTTAGGGTTATGTTAGGCAAAGGTGAACAGGTACTTATCTACACAATGTGGTTTGAGTGGTGCCAGAAAAATTCCCCTGCTCAGAGCATCTTTCCTATTGCCATCACAGTGCCTAATAGTTCACTATTAGAGCTTCATTTATTTGGACTTTTTTTTATATCTGTCAAAGTCTTCTGTAAAATACAATCCTTTAGGTCTTGAAATAAAGATGTAATCACATTTACTTCTTTATGAACCTATGTCCAGCAACAAAATACAATTAGGTTTCTTTTCTACCCTGTTTACTTTTTGTTTCTTTGTTTGATAACATTGGAAAGTGTTTCATTTTGATCATATTTTGTCACACTACCAAAAGCTATTAAAACATCGTAAATTCAGTTTGTGATTGACCCTACCATTCTTTAAAAAGGCAACTCAGAAAAGTTTGGAAAGTGGTTATGTTTTCTTTAATTTTAAATTTCAGCAGCATCTGGTTATATGGATAGATAGAGGTTATAGACCAATTGTTGTAGATGAAAAAGGCTATTATTGAAAAACAAATACAACCTATACATCCATTCAACAAGGTTTAATGTTTAATCCTGTCGTTTAGTCATGTCCAACTCTTTGTCACTCCATTTGGGGTCTTCTGGGCAAAGATACTGGAGTGGTTTGCCATTTCTTTCTCCAGCTCATTTTATAGTTGAGGAAACTGAGGCAAACAGGGTTAAGTGACTTGTCACACAACTAATAAGTGTCTGAGGACAGATTTGAGTTTAGGAAGATGTTTGACCCCAAGCCTGGCATTCTATCCATTGCAGGACTAGTTGCCCACGTTTAATCCTACTTTTTATAAAGGTATTTATATATATACACACAAGAGTCAGCATGATATAGTGGATAGAGAAGTGTCCTCTGAGCCAGCAAAATCTGGATTCAAGACCTCCTATTATAATTTATTGGTTGTGAGACCTCTCAGCTGGATATACTGGCTTTATTTCCCTTCTCAGTGCTATAGGCAATGCTTAACACTTTACGTTTCAGAAAAAGTGCCCACTTGTCTTGAGAATGGGAGATTCCTCATGTGGGAGTTTTCTGTATGTGGCTCCAAGAAGCTATAACTTGTGCAGCAACCATACCCCGAGTAAACTGTCTTGGCAGATGGGCTAAACCAGGTTGAGGGCAACTGATAGGTCTCAAACCATCAGTGAGTTAGAGCGATGTCTACTCCAAGCATGTGAAGGCTTCCCCTGGAGGAATGGGCAGATAAGAACAGTTTGTTCCAATGGCCATGAGGGCAACTGAAGCAGGTGCTGTGGAACACTGAGGGCTTGGTCAGACATCAAGATGCCAACGTCATCCACTGCATCCTGAGCTATTGCCAGTAGTCCTGACTTTTGTCCTGTCACTGGACTTCAATGACTCTGGAAGAGTGAGGCTGATTATTTTGTATAACTCTGCTTCCCTTAAATCCAATTTCCATACAAGTCAAGATATCACCAATGATGTCACTGGTCCTCTTCAAAAATGAAGGACAAACAACACAACAATAAGATTAAGCCCCTACTGAGCTGGGGCTGAAAATACAAATAAAAAACAAGACAGTCTCAGCCTTCAAGGTGCTTACAATCTAGTGAGGGAAGATAAACACACAAAAAGAAGCTGCAAAGCTGGAGGGGAGAGTGGAAAGTACCAAAAAGGAGGTATGATGGAGAGGGCCAAAGAAGTCCAAAAGCAGAGCTACTACAATGGGAAATGAGAAGACTGTGCTGGGACCCCTTCTTAAATGGAGAGGATCCAATCAGAGAGGGAAGAGAGCGCTGATGAAATAGGAATAGTAGACTGATTCAGTCCCTTTATTTATATATTGCAACAATCTCTTGCTTTTTGTACTTACATGGAGAGTAAATTTCACAAAGAAACCCCCCAAAAATCACCATTATTGCAAAGTATATATAACTGCTAGGATTAATAGGAATCACATCCATATTAGGATAATGTCAACATAATTGATTTAATTATTTATAGTGTGTTGGTTATATAGTTTGACTCTGGGGCAAATTTTACACACTTAAAGATAATCTTTCAATTTTGATTCTTTCCCTGATGTCCGTTCCAACTCTGTTTCAATTAATCCCTTAAATAACATTTTAAGCAATTGCATCAATCTTAGGTTGTAGTGCGTGAAAAATAATTTTTATCTTGGAGACTCAGAGTTCCACTCTTCAGCCCCTTTCCCTAAATTTCTTCACAAGGACATTACTGATAACGAGATTGCATTGGGTCTTACACTGGTCAGACCTCAAACCCAAGCATGAATTGATTTTATCAAAGATATGGAAGTTCCCTTGTGTTCTACTCTGGCTTGGTTGGAGAGAGATTCTTCTGCCTAGATAGCCCAAGGTTAGGAGCTGTCTGATATGGTTGGGAGGTGATCTGATAGAAGAGGTTATTTCCTCTGTTGGGAGGTGGGGTGATATCAGCCCCTGTTGAAAAGGTATATAAATTGGGCACCCCAACTCCTAAATCGAGTCAGGTCTGGACCGTAACTTTCGTTCAATGTATGTTGCCAGCTTGCGAGAGAAATTAAACATGGACACAGCTTAATTTTGTTTGTCTTTCTTAAAACAAACTGTGAAAGGCTGACAAGTGGTATAAGATCTAACTGTTGAGGACAGATCCTTTTCTACCCAGAACCCCTGAGTTTTGTTTTTGTTTCCCCTTTTATATAAGGTGTACATATTAGCAATCTTAAATATTGTTGTTAAGTTGTTTAGTCATGTCTGACTCTTTGTGACTCTATTTTTATGGAGTTTTCTTGGCAAAGATACTGGAGTGGTTTGCCATTTCCTTCTCCATGGTCCCCATTCGACATTTGAGGAAACTGAGGCAAACAGAATGCCCAGAGTCACACAGCTGGTGTGTGATACATACTTAGATGTAAAACTGTACATCACTCCCAATTTCTAGCTCCAATCTCACTGAGAATGAAAGATTTTTTTTATATTTATAACTCTGTTGGGGAGCCATTATGACTAATGCCAATTTTGACCGAAAAAAAAGAAAAGAAAGAAAAAAGAAAAAAAGGATTAAGGTAAAAAAGAGGAAAGATCTTTTCATTTGGATTGCTTATATTTCAAAATATTCTAACTTCCCTACATAGTTAACTTGGTCCATCAATAACTTGACGTAACAATGAATTATATACTGGATAACTCTCTGAGAGGTGAGAGGGGAGAGATACTGGGGAAAATTTTAGTGATGTAGAAACAAAAAGAAAAAAAACCCTAAGTCTCCCAAAGACATGAATAAAAATTTGTTTAAAAAACTGTTGCCTGCAACCAGATTGTACACCAAACGGAGAGGCGTGAAATAACTTATGACATGGGCCAGGCGGAGTAGAATTACTGACTCCGTTTATTCATGTGAGGGCACAGAATATATAGGGAAGATCTAGCCTAACTTCAAAGAGTCCTCCCGGTGAGATACTCCCCAGAACATCTGCTGAGGATGTAACAATCATGAATTTCCTCATCAGGGTTCCTAGATTGGGCTGTAGATTCCAAGGTTTTCCCAGGCGCCTAGGCGCCACCTGCATAGAGGAGTAAATACGTAAATCTAAGGTTCAAAGAGAGAGAAGGGATATCTCAGAGACCTCTTTATCAGGAAGGAATTTGGAGAGCAGTACCACTTAATCCTTGAGCCCTTTGGGGTGAAAGCCTGAGCAGAGGTCAAACTCTGCCTTGGATCTTAAACCCTTATCAGACTCTTAAGATCGGCCCTCAACAAAAAACAATTATAGTGTTCCAAAAGTCTTAGTACAGTCTTAAACTTTAATAACTTTCTTAAGTCTCAGTTAAAATCCCACTTTCTAGAGGAAGCCCTTGGGGATCCCCCTTAATTCTAGTGCTTTCCCTGTGTTGATTATTTCCAATTTATCCTGTTTATTGATTGTTTGCACATTGTTGTTAGTTCGTTGTCTACGATATTTCATTGCAAGATCCTTGAGGGCAGGGATTTTCTTTTGCCTCTTTTCTTTCTCCACCTTTAATAACAATGCCGGGCCATAGTAGTTGATTGATTGATGTTGGCAGCCCCATTAAGACTGTTAGCTCTTTGACTGTTTCCCTTTCCCTCTGCTTAGCACTGGGCCTGCACATAGTGCCTACACATTTAATTAATGTTTATAAAAGGAAACTGCCCTGAGACTACTGAACCACAAATACACAGAATCCTAAGGGTTCACAGAACTTTTGGGGAATGTTTATCTCCAAAATACTTAGAGAGCCTGTCACCTTTACTGTTCCAGACTTTACATTTTGAGTCAAAAATTTTTTTTTGAGTTTTAAAAATTATTTTTCAACATGAAAAAAATTTTTTTTGAGTTCTAAATTCTTTTCCTTCCTCCAGTCTCTCCCCATCCAATGAGAAAGCAATATATTAATAATACATGTGAAATCATGAGTCTAAATTTAAAGCTGCCAAAAATTAAACAATTAAAAAAAATCCAAAGTAGATATGCCAATCTCATTTGTTTTGAGCAAACAATTATTTTTATTTTAAGAACAGTTATTATTAATTTTATTGTTAATTATTATTTATATTATTATTAGTTCATTTATCATTGTGACTATGTTACAGCCTTTGACAAAAGTCTAGTGGAGTCTGCAGAAATAATGAATGGACTGATGTGTGAAGCATGGTTAAGAGGTGAAAAACGGGGCATTTTAAGGGAAAAGGCAAGGGAGACCTTTTCCCACAGGTTGCTCCGGTCATTTTCCCGCCAAATGGAGCCAGGTGGTGGGGAGAGCTCTAGACGCCAAGGAAGAACTGCAATTCCCAGGACACCTTGGCGTTCGTCGCGGCCGACCCAACCCCCTCTCCACACCCCCATCCCCGGGTAGCAAGCAGCGAGGCCTCGTGAATACGCACTACAACTTCCAGCAGCCTCTGCGCCCGCGGTCCTCCCCCGGGAAGGCGAAGGACTACAATTTTGTGGAAGCCCTAGGAATTCAGTTAGCGGTGGGCGTGTCGCTCTCTGGGTCGCGTCATCAGCCTGCGCTCCTCACTTAAGGATGAACAGGTTTCGGTTGTAGCATGATGGCCGCCTGCGAGGCGGTGGCAGCAGCGGCGATAGTGGCGACAGCGACAGAAAGGGCCGAAGAGGCGGCGAAAGCAGCCACCACGGGGACGGTCGCGTCGGCGGCGGTCTCAGCCAAGGCCGCGGTGCTGTCCTCTGGGGGGAAGAAGGCAGCAGCCTCGGCCGCCGTGACGGAGACGACGGCCGCCACAACGGCCGCGGCGGGAGGAGCGGGGGGCCGTCCGATCGGCGGCGGCCGCCAAGTTGCTGTCCCTGAGCGGCGTGTTCGCCGTGTACAAACCCAAGGGCCCCACTTCAGCCGAGCTCCTGAACCAGCTGAAGGAGAAACTCCTGGCAGGTAGCGCAGCCGGGGCTCGGGCGAGGCGAGGCAGCGGCGGCGGCGAAGGCGGCGGCGGTGGCGGCAGCTGCGGCGTGAGGGGAAGGCGGAGGAGGCGGGAACCGGGCATTTCCTAATTTAACCCTTTCTTCAAGCGTGCCTCGGGGAGCCGCTCTGGTGCCAGCCCCCTGGCGGCCCTGGCATTGAGACAAAGAAAAAACACAAAACAAAACATGAAAGGAGAAGGACCTCGAAATGAATGGCGATGGAAACTAGGGCGGCAGGCAGGACGGGGCCGCTGGTCCCGGGGAGCAATCCTTTGTATCCCAGGCGTTTTGAGAATGGCAGCAGCGCCTAAGAACCTGTAGTTTTTGCAACCTCGTTAACACTTTCCTTTTCGTATCTACCCCAGTAGAGCCTGTGGCCTTTGGTAATCAGTGTTGCCACCTGCTCAAAGAAACAAACCTAAAGGAAATGGACCCTTTTCCCGATAAGTTTGTATTCTTAGTTCAGATTGTAGATACTATTATTTTCAACAGATACAAGACTTTTAGTCTTGTGCATCTGGTATTTTTCCATAGAATTTTTTTTCTTTTCCTGGCCTCATAAACACTAAAAACTCGATAAATACCATAATGGGTCAAATTTATGGACCCATGTTCTACAATATTCTACATAGGTCTGTGTGTCTGCCATTATTTTTCATAGAACCTCTTTTTTCTGGCCGCATAAACACTATAAAAACTTCATAAATACCGTAATGGCTCAAACTCATGGCCCCCTATTGCACAATATAGTAATATTGTCCATGTCCCTGTATAGTTTGTTTACAAAGCACTTTGGGAGATGATAGTAATTACTTTCCTTGAGATTATCCCTCAAATAATAGCTGACATTTATATAGTGCTTGAAGGTCTTCTAAGCACTTTGTATACATCTAATTTGGACCTAACAATTCTGAGAGGTACTATTACTATCCCTATTTTATAGGTAAGGAATTTGAATCTGAGGCAAGTAAGGTGAAATTTGAACGTAGTTCTTCCTGGGTCCAGGCCCCAACACTCTTCATAGGCAGTTCTAAGTAGTATTCCACGTTTTTCTTTCTTTTTTTTTTTTTAAGGCAATTGGGGTTAAGTGACTTGCTCAGGGTCACACAGTAAGTGTCAAGTGTTTGGTCTGAGGTCAAATTTGAACTCGGGTCCTCCTGACTTCAGTGCTGGTGCCACCTAGCTGCCCCCTCCACATGGTTCTTGTATCACTTCATACAACCTTTAATGGTAATGTTTGTCCAGATATGAGACCTTATATAGTTTGCCTTCACAGTACCATTCTAGTCTTATCAAAGATTACTAAGTATATTTCTGTGTGCTAAATATGAGGAGAGAATCAAATTATAAGGCAGTCCTTGTCCTCAAGGTTTTTATAAGCTAGAATGGAGCTAAGTTATGGATATTATCTTAGCACTTTGAACCTTTTATATACTTTCCACTCTGCTTTGTAGATTTGTTTATTAAATTTATTTTATTAATTTATTTTTATTTATCAACAATCACTTCCTATGCTTTTGAGTTTAAAATTTTTCTCCCCCTTTGTAGATTTGTTTATAAGCAGTTTCAGAATCAGAATTGCAGAATCTTTTGAGTTGAAACACTTAAGAGGCTAATTTAGGTCAACCCACATCTGGCCAAGAATCCCTTCTCCAGTATCCCTGACAAGTGAGACTTCTAGCTCGAAAATTTGTAGTAAGGCAGGACCCAATATTTCCTAAAGATCCCCATTGCTCCCCTGTTAGGTGATTAAATTTTTTTGAGAGCCAGAAGCACATGTTCACACGTTCATTTTTTTTTCATGCCCCTCAGCACCTTGTACAGTGCCGAGTACATACTGTGTTCTTATTTAATGTTTATGGACTTATAACACAAAGTAGGTCATCCTATTATGGCTAACAGGTCAGCTTCGGAATCAGACCTGCCTTCAAGTGCTGCCTTTGATATGTATTAGTTATGTAACCATAAACAAGTGACTTAACCCATCGATGCTGCATTCAGTGATTTAAAACTGTTAAGTTACAGATGAGTTGCCAGTCTGCATCAGTGAAGGGAATTTCAGTACTGGAAATTTCCCACAAATTTGAAACCACAGGTCCAGACCAAAACAAAATAGAATGTGATAAGTATATGAGAGGTATAAAAAAAGTGGTTCAGAGGGAGAGATGACTTCTGTCTAGGTTAAAGGGATCAGGGAAAGCTTTATGGAAGAGATGATCCTTCATAGGATCATAAGTTTAGAACTGAAAAGGATCTCAGAAGTCATCTAGTCTAACTCCTTCGTTTTACAGTTGAGGAAGCTGAGGAACAAAGATTAAGTGACTTGTGTTAGGTCAGATGGTAAGTGGAACAGCTAGCATGAACTTGGGTAGTCCTTTTAAGCTGAGCCTTAAAGGATGGGTATGAATGATTATAGTGATTAATGGGAAGGGGGAATAGAGCATTCTAGGCATGGAAAATGATGTGAACAATGGCAAAGAACTTGGAAAGCCTTTGGTTTGTGTGAACTAAATGGTGTGATGGAAAGAGTTAGAAAATCTGATGTGATGGCTAGGCTCTAACCTTTACTAGGTATGTGTGATTTTAGACAGATTACTAGACTTCATCGATCAGCTTATTCCTCTGACAAATGGGAGTAAATAATACTGGTATTACTTAACTACCTTATGTGGTGAGGAAAGCAGTTGGTAAACTTTATGTTTGTTTTGTTTTTGTTTTTTTTTGTTTGGGCAGTGGGGGTTAAGTGACTTGCACAGGGTCACACAGTAAGTGGTATGTATCTGAGGCTAGATTTGAACTCAGGTCCTCCTGAATCCAGGGCCAGTGCTCTATCTACTGTGCCACCTAGCTGCCCCCAATGTGTAAACCTTAAAGAGCTATATAAATCATGTTCTTAGGGAAAGGGGAATATTAAGAGGCCAGGCAGGAAAGGTTCATTAAAGACAGGTGGTCAACTGTTGTTGCTGCTGCTGTTGTTTAGTCATTTGAGTTGTGTCTGACTCTTTGTGACATATGGGGTTCTCTTGGCAGAGACAGTAGAGTGGTTTGCCACGTCCTTCTCCAGCTTATTTTACAGATGAGGAAACTGAGGCAAACAGGGTTAAATGACTTGCCCAGGATCATACAACTAGTAAGTATCTGAAGCCAGATTTGAACTCAGGAATCTTCCTGACTCCAGGCCCAGCACTGTTTTCATAGGCAGTTGTTCTAAGTGGTATCCACTTTGCCATCTAGCTGCCTCAGTGGCCAACTGGAGGTCCTTAAATGCCAGGCTGAGAACTTCAGACTTGATTCTCTAGGCAGTGAGAAAGCAATTGAAGGATTTTGAAAGCAGTAAAGAGAGTGAATTCACAGGATTAGAAAGAACTAGGTATCCTGACTAGTCTAGTGTTCTTTTCAGTACACTTCCTCCTTCCCTTTTAAGTCTTATTTGACCAACCCTTGTTCAGTGTTCTTTCAGTCTACTGAATTCCTGTTGGACATGACTTCTCAGGCTCTCAGCCAGTGCTGTTAGAGGTGGAACTTGAACCCAAGTCTTCCTGATTTCAAGCCTTGTTTGCTATCAACTCTACAATGCCTCTTTATATAATTTTATGAAGTTAAAATTGTTAACCTCTTTAATGCTCTCTCTTAAGTCATGTTTGGTTAAGAATTCTTCCACCAATGCTTTTTCTTTTTTTTTAAACAATTCTTATTGATATCTATTGGTTTTAGATCATCTACATTTCCCAGGATATTCCTGCTCCTGGGTAGCCATCCAATTAATAAGATTATTGATCTAGATCAGGAAGGAACTTTAGAAGCCATCTAGTCAACCTTCCTTTATAAAAAATAAAAATGAGGAAAAAAAAACAACAAGCAAAACTAATACAATGGGTGGCGCAGTGAATAGAGCAGCAGCCCTGAAGTCAGGAGGACCTGAGTTCAAATGGGGCCTCAGACCAGACACTTCACATTCACTAGCTGTGTGACCCTGGGCCAGTCACTTAACCCCAATTGCCTAAAAATTAGAAAAAACAACCTAATACAATCACGTTTGAAGTTAAATTGAGAGTTCCACACCCATAGTCCCTTCCCTTGTAAAGAAGGGGGGAGGTGTATTTTTATCTCTGGGATTAAAAGTTTAAGTCATTGTAATTGCACAGCATTTAATTTCATCTATTTTGTTGTTATGCTTTCCTTTTATATTGTCACAGTAATTGTATATATGGTTACTCTGGTTTTGCTTACTTCATTTTGTGTCAGTTCATATAAGTGTTCCTCCCCTTGTGTCTCTGTTTCTAATAATTTATTACAGGGCAATAATGCTCTATTACATTTATATACCCCAAATTCTTTATTATTCTTCGGTTGATGAGTGCCTAGTTTGTTTCCAGTTTTTGGCTGCTGTAAAAAGTGTTGTAAATATTCTGGTGTATATGGGACCTTTCACTGCATATGCATCAAATTGTTGAAGATAATAAAAGAGAGAAATAGTCAATGTTAGAAGGACTAGAAAAGACCTATCACACCAATATACTATTGGTAGAGTTGGGACTTTGGCCAAATATTCTAGAAAAGATTTTGTAATTAAGAAAAATCACTAAACTGTTCATATCCTTTAATCTAGACAGCCCTCTCCTGGATTTATACCTTATAAAAAGCAGAAAGATCTCATATATGCCAAAATATTTATAGTAGGACTTTTTGTGAGAGCAAAAAACCAGAAACAAAATAGATGCCTGTCAACTGCGGAAGGGTTGAACAATCAATTAGCATTAATTAAGCTCCTATACAAAAGCAAAAAACAGTATTTGCCCTCAAGATTATGTTTTACTGGTTAAGCCAACATGTCTAAAGATACACATTTAAGAAAATATGTAGTTAGGAAGGCTGTGTGAATGTGAATTAAACCAGTCACATTTTTCTTCTAACCTGTAGCTGAATCCTTTGCACTGAGATTAATTTATTGATTGCTTAGGGAAAGGAGGCAGATACTTTGGGAGTCTGGAATACTTTGGGCTTAGAGGAGAAGTAAATGGAGGACTTAGGTCTACATGAAGATACTTGGCACTTGGATGTTTGTGGAGAAGGATATGTAGTTGGAGGCTATCAAAGACAAACTTTGACAGATTTTTCTCATAGGACTGACAAAAAAAAAACCTCTTGCTTTTACTTTTGAGGTGTGATGACCCCCCTCCCTACTCTCAGAACTCCAAACACAGCTAGTTCTAGCAGAACTTGACAGACTTGGCAAACTCAGCCCATTGTTAATTTGTAATATATTAGGCAAATTCATGTAATAGGGGCAGTTATAAACTGACTATTGCCCCCATGATATTATACCAGTCTTTTGTGACCTTATGTTGGAATACATTAACCATGTTATTTTAGAGAACAATAAAGTTCACCTTAGCATGTATCCTTAATTCTGTGTTATGTTAAATAGACTTGTGGAATAATCTGGAAACCAAACAACTCTTTACAACATTGTTTCTTTAGAAAAAATGTGTTCTTAGGTTCAAACAACTGATTTTACAAGTGAGCTTTCGGGATATAACTCATTTTAATTTGGTAGCCTTTCTCTTGTATTTGTCATAATCTTTTGTTAGTAGTGTTAATTATATTCTTGTTAGGATAAGTTAATTGTGTGTGTTTTTAAAATGACTTGTTTGTATTAGTTAGGGGACTGTCTCACTTTATTTGAAGATACAGTGGGTAATTACTTTTTTCATTCATTTTTCTTTAATAGAAGCTGGTATGCCTCCTCAAGATGGGAACAAGAGGAAGAAACAGGCATTAAAAATTGGTCACGGAGGTACTTTGGACAGTGCTGCCACAGGAGTTCTGGGTAATAGATATAAGCAACATTTTAATATAATTTCATTTTTACAGTGGTTTTCCTAGGTTGGTAAGAGAGAAAGTTGTTTAAAGTAGTTTCATTTAGGATATAATGTAGATTAATTTATGATGTAATATTTTAGAATCTTGCACAACTGTTTTGTTACATAGGACATATGTTGCCTTTTTTGCTTAAAAGCAGGAAATAAAATAAAATGAAAAGAAATAAAAACTAGCCACTCGTTTGTACAAATGGACCTTTAAAGAATGATGTAGTCTTTTTTCCTACTTATATCCAGTTTTTTAAAAATAAAATTTATTTTCTTCAGTTATCTGTTACTCTGTAGCAAGAACTACTTAGAGTTTCTGAAGGAAAGTTATGTTGTTTTACAGATAAGCTCCCATTGAGAACATTATTGTTTGTTTAGAGAAGTCAGTAGAATTGATTGAAGAGGGAAAATCATTAATGCTTTTTATTTCCTGTTTTGCGTATTGGCATTTGTTAGGCTTTGCAGCACATATCTGGGGCTTGACAGAATGTATGTATGTATGTATGTATACTATAGCAGTTAAAGCCAAAAAAACCTCTATAAGTTTAGTGCCAAATGAAGGTAACATTAGAAATAAAGCAAATGTATACTACTCAGAAAAATTTTTAAAATGGTGACAAAAACACACTTTTCAAACAGTTTAAAAATGTGCAATTTTGTACTTTTAAAAAATTCTAGATATGGTGGAAAAAACTTCATGGAAGTAGAAAATTTTCTCATTTTAAACAAACTAACCTACACTAGTTATTTTCACATTTCCTCCACTTCAAAATTTGCCTTCTAGATTATACACCTATTTCAAATATAATTTTATTCATTAAAACAGTTTACTAAAATCATCAGTCCCATGAGGGCATTGTTAGGAAGTCAATTGAAAAGAGAGTGAAGTAGAGTCTTAATTTTTGAATCTTTACAAATCTTAGGAAAACTAGTTTAGGAAAATAATCAAGGTGAAAATCTGTTTAAATGAATTAGAAAATGTTGATGGATGTATTTTCACCAGTTAAAAATCATGGTTTTTTTTGTTTGTTTATCTTTCTATTATGTCATACTGTAAAGACTTAAAAACAACAATAGATAAAATGCATCTTCTATTTTAGCTTCGATAAATTATTTCCACTCATAGTACCTTCTCCTGTCATACAGGAAATTGTGACAGATACGATTCAATTTATTTCAGTCACTTAAAAAAGCATTTATTAAGCTCTTAGCATATGCCAGGGTCTATTCTTAATTCTAAGGTTACAAAGAAAGACAAAATCAGTCCCAAAGTTGGTTGATTGGTTGTTGTCATCCTTCGTTCTCGAAGAGGACCAAAATGACATCAGCATGCTAGAGTCAAACTACAGTGTGTCTGGACTGTGGCTGATCAGACCAACATGAGCTTGGAATGTTCCATCACAGGTTGGGCACAAATAGTCCATGTGAACATTTGGAGTGTATTCTCTAAATTTGCACATCTTGTGTTTCTTTTGAGGTACTTCAATTTTTTCTTTGCTCATAGAGCACAGCACCTTCTCTGATACGGGTGTGCCATGCTGAGTGGTCCTGTGCCAGTGTCTCCCATGTCACACAATTCCAAAGTCCGAAAGCACATATTGAGTGAAAGCTGAGAAATTTTCACTCTTAAATTTTATCTTAATACTGTGAGGGGGTAGGGTATAGAATACATCTGGCAAAGATTGTAGGTGTGATAGGAATTACTTTAAAATAATTATTTTTTAGAAGCCTTGAGCTGTGAATCATAGAGTTAGAAGGGAGCTCAGATATCATCTAGTCTTACTCATACCTGAAGAGGAATTTCCTGTATTACATTTCCAACAAGTTATCTGTTTTTTGTTGTTGAGTAGTGTCTGACTCTTTATGACCCCATTTGGGTTTTTCTTGGCAAAGATACTGGAGGGGCTTGCCATTTCCTTCTCCAAAACAAATGATCTACAAGCCCTTAAATTTTTTTTTCAATTAATAAGCAGTTATTTTTCTTCCATTCCTACTCCCGCCTCTACTGGGGAAAAAAACCTTGTAACAAATATTCATAGTCAAGGAAATCAAATTTCCATATTGGCTATGTCAAAAAAAAATGTGTCTCATTATGCACATTTACTCCATCACCTAACTCTGTCAGGGTGTGGGTAGCATTCTTCATCCTTGGTCCTCTGGAATCATAGTTTATTACTGCGTTGATCAGAATTCTTAAGAATTTCAAAATTGTTGTGTATTGTAATATTGTTATAATATAAATGGATCTCTCGTTTTGCTTGCTTCACTCTGCATTGGTTCATAGAAGTATTTCTAAATTTCCCTTTAACTGTCTCCTTTGTCTTTTCTTCCAGCACCATAGTACCAGTTGCATTCACATACCATAATTTGTTCAGCTATTCCTCAATTGATGGGCATTTTCTTAGTGTCCAGAACTTTGCCAACACAAAAAGAGCTACTGTAAATATTTTTGTACATATGGGTCATTTTCCTCTCTTCTTTTAAGGTATAGGCCTCATACTGGGTCAAAGAGTATGCACAATTTAATAGCTTTTTGAGCCTAGCTACAAATTGATTTCCAGAATGGCTGTACTAATTCACAGCTCCACCAACAGTGCATTACTGGTCCCATTTTTCTGAAGTCCTTCCAACATTTGTCAGGTTTTTTTGGTTAGCTTTGCCAATCTTGAGGGGTGTGAGATGGAACTTCAGAGTGGCTTTAATTTGCATTTCTCTGTTAATGACTTTGAGCATTTAAAAAAATATTGAATGTAAGTATCTTGATTTCTTCCCTTGAGATCTGCCTATTTATATTTTTTGACCATTTATTAATTGAGGAATGGCTTTTAATTCTTACCATTTTGAGTCAGTTCCCTGAATATCTCAGAATAAGACTTTTATCAAAGAAACTTGGTGCAAAGATTTTTTCCCCCATTTAATGGTTTCCTTTCTATTCTTAGCTTCATTGGATTTGTTTGTGTGAGACTTTAAAAATTTTATGTAATCAAAATTGTCTCATAATCTCCTGTGATTCCCTCCGTCCTTTGGTTATGAACTCTTCCCCTATCCATAGATCCAGAAGCTAATTTCATCCATGCTCCTCTAATTTGTTTATGATGTGACCTTTTATATCTAGGTCATTTATCCCTTTGGAGTGATCAACATACTCTTGCTTGCTGAGTTTCTGCTTCTCATTCTTCATCCTTCTGGGCCTTCCCTGCATTTTGACCTTGCCAACTACCCCCTGCTTCTGGATACTTTCTCATCTGACTTGTGACACTGCTGTCCCTGAGTTTTCCTCCTACCTGTTTGATCACTCTTCCACTTCCTTACTTGACCATTATCCTTCTTTTGCCCATAAAATATGGATGTTCCTAAAGCTCCATTCTGGGCTCTCTTTTCTTTTTCTCTCCTCTCTTTATTAGTGTTCTTATTAATTTCCATGGGTTAAATGATCATTTCTGTAGATGACTCCCAGATATTTATAATAGCTTCTAGTGTTTCTCCTAAACTCCTTCCTGGTACATATTACCAACTACTCTATGTATATCTGGTATGTACTTAGTTATTTATATGTTAGCATGCAAAAACATATAGATTATATGTAAATAATAAATATAAAACACATATGGAATGTAAGCTTCTAAAAGGGTGGAGACTATTTTTACTATTCTTTGCATCCCCAGATGCATAGTACCAAAGAATTTGTCATTTGGTGGCCAACCTGTTAGAGATAAACCCCTCTGTATTTAGTTAGATTTCATAGTCTATTTCTAAAAGCTTACTTGAAAACTTTCAACGTGATAGAACCTTGAACCCAGAGTTGCTCCATGACTATGATGAGGCATCAAAGTAGGGCTTCTGTGAAACTTATTAGTGTTCCCCCAAAAATGTGGTTCCCAGAAAGGAGTACTATATTTCTGATGTGGTTTAACCAAAGCAGTATAATTTAGTAAGTTTAAATAGCACCTGCTCTGTGCAGAGCATACAGCTTCCAGAGCAGACATAGCCTCTATTCTCATGGATTATATAGCCTGGTGACCAGATTCAGGTTTAGCATAGCATGACTTTAATCTCTCTTGTTCTAGATATTATGCATTTGTAACTTTTAAGACAGCATTGACTTTTTTGACCACATCAAAATGTTGTTTTATGCTCTGTGTGCAAGTTCCCTTAAATACCTAGTTCTCTTTCTTTAAAAATATATATATATGTATATATATTTTATTGATAGCCTTTATTTTTACATTGCCTAGATTCTCCCCACATCACTTCCTTTTCCCCTCACAGAGTACCATTTCTTATGACAGAGTTTTTTATTTTTAAAATTTCTTTTATGATCATAATTTTTTTGAGCATCTATGTCTTGCCCCGATGGAAATGCAGTGGCCACTCTTAGGCCCGATTACAGCACAGGAGCTTTGACATCCTCTATTTTCAAACTGAGCTGGTTTGAATCTTCTTAAGTAGTGGGCAGAGCCAAGATGGTGGAGCAAAGGTGGGAACATGCCTGAGGTTTCCCCTAAGCCCCTCCAAATACCTTTAAAAATGTGTCTAAACAAATTCTGGAGCAGCAGAGTCCACAAAAAGATGGAGCAAAACAGGTTTCCAGCCCAAGACAACTTGAGGGGTCGGTAGGAAAGGTCTGTTGCACCAGGGTGAGAGAGGAATGCAGTTCAACACAGGCCATGCCAGCACAGACCCAGCCCCAGCAAGCTTGGAGCAGACCATGGGGTGGCTGAATCACCAGCAGCTGTGGCGGTTTCCAGATCTCTCAGCGCACAGACACCAAAGACAGCCTGGAAGGTCAGCAGGAAGGGTCTGTCGCACCTGGGTGAGAGTGGAGCACAGTCCAGTGCAGGCTGCACCAGCACAGCCCCGGTCCCAGCAGACTAGGAGCAGGCCTTGAGAGTGACTGAATCGGCAGCGGCAGTGGCTGTTTCTGGAGCTCTCAGCCCACAGACGGTAAGGGGGTTGAACA